ACACACACACACACACACACACACAAAGTTATGGCTGGGGGTGGTGGCTCATGTCTGTAATCTCAGCACTTTGGGAGGCCAAAGTGGGCACATCACTTGAGGTCAGGAGTTCGAGACCAGCCTGGCTAGCATGGTGAAATACGATCTCTACTAAAAAAAAAAAAATACAAAAATTAGCAGGTGTGGTGGCACACACCTGTAGTCCCTGCTACTTGAGAGGCTGAGGCACGAAGATCTCTTGAACCCAGGAAGCAGAGGTTGCAGTGAGCTAAGATCACACCACTGTACTCCAGCCTGGGTGACAGAGTGAGACCCTGTCTCCTAAAAACAAACAATCTAAATTTACATAATTATTTATGTAAACATAATTTAGGTAATTTAGGGGAAACTTGTTCCCCCTAGAATATAGAAAACCTGAGCCACAGATCCCAGCATTTTCTCTCCAGATCTCACTATGCATGTATGCCGTGTAGTAAATGCAGTTCCAATAAAAGAAGAAAAAGTGGAATTTGAAAATGAAAAATGGCATTCATGAAAAAAAGTATACCTTTATTTTGACTTTTGTTTGCAAAATGCAAATACTACATATCAGATTTTTAAAATTCACATCATTAATATGCATCAATGATCTCTTTATGAATTTGTAAAATTTAGATAAGTTATGGTGCCATGTTTGCTGTGTTTATTTTTTAGAATTTTTTAATGGAGGAAAATTTGGAGAAGGACATGACCTGAGCCTATGTTTCATGGGGTGCCCTTACTTGACACAATCAGGACACTATCACTTTCCAGATGGAAAATAACGATCCAAACGCTTTAATGTCCATTAGGGAAATTATCCTCCCAGTCCAAGAAAGCAATCATGTTATCAATTCATAATACTGGGCGATCTTCATGTTCTACGAGATGTCTTCAAAACGTCATTGCTACAGTAGGTCATTTTTTTACACGATTTTTAAAAATTTTATTTCAAAATGTGGGCTTATTTCCTTAGGTCCTACAAAGGATGAGACTATAGAAAAACCTTTTTACATATCTGCATTGTCTGTAGGAATAAACCACTTTGCAAATAGTGAGATGGATGCTATGTCTTAATTTGTTGTCCATGTGATGACAACTTTTTACTCCTTTAGATGGTTTGATTCACTCTTTATATGATGCAATTCTCTTTGCTGCTTTCTTTGCACAAAGATACTGTGAAAAAATAGGGAAAGAGGTAATTCACAGCTTTCACTTTTCATTGTTACACTTGGAACTGAAGTGACCCATTACTTGATTTTGAGAGACACTATAGACCCAAGTGTTAAAATTAAAAGAATAAAGCTTCTAAGAGAAAACGGAAGATAAAACTCTTTGCTACCTTGGGTTTAGGAAAGATTTCTTAATCAGATCTCAAAGTTGCTAACAATAAATTAATAAAATAATTGAGCTTATAAACATTTTTAAAAATTCTTTTCCTGATCCTGGAGAGAATTGACTTAAGAGTCTGACACCTTTTACAGCGTGATAAGAAACATTTACAATTTATCCTCTCTGAGCCTGCTACCTGGAAGCTTCATCTGCATGATAAGAATCTTGGTCTCCACAACCCTTTATCTGAGCCTAGACCTTCTCTTCTATGGATATCTGGTCTTTAGACAACCTCTTTCAACCAACTGCCAATCAGACAATCTCTGAATCCGCCTACGACCTGGAAGCTTCCACGCTGAGTTGTCCCGCCTTTCTGGACCACTGATGTCTTCTGTCTCCCTGGAATGTATAAAGCCAAGCCGTGGCCTTGACCACCACGGGCACTTGTTCTCAGGACCTCCTGAGGCCGTGTCACGGCATGTCCTTAACCTTGGCAAAATAAACTTCTAAATTGATTGAGTCTTGTCTCAGATACTTTTTGGTTTACGACGTGAAATATATTATGCCTCCACTGCACTCATTATCATGGGAAAACACCTCAAAATAAATAAATAAATAAAAACAAACCAACAAAAGACAGTAAAGACCTTTGTACCGTCCATTATTTTTCTGCCCTAGTATTTGTGGCCGGATCAAAAACAAACCAGACAAGGACTCTGAGGGAGGGAGATTTCTCTGACACCTGTAGGTAGGATCAGGATTCCAGGGCTGCAGAGGGAAGAGTTTCAATAAGAGGAGGAAAAAGCAGTGATACTGACCTTCATGAGTCCTCTACTGCCGACCGTCTGGGCTGCAGTCCCCTGGCACATTTCCTTGCAGAGAAAGGATAGCAGGAGTGGGCTTCCTGATTTCCTGATTTCCTGATTTCTCTGAGGCCAGCAGGTGCCTGGAGTGGCCTTTGCACCCCCTGCTGGTCGTTCTGGCTGCACACAGTCTCATGCCTTGTGAGTGTGAAACCAGGTGCTGTCTCGTTCCCCAGGTTGAATGCAAGAGAATGCTTGGGTAGAACTTTGTTACCCAATGAAGCCTCCTGGCTCTCTAGTCCCTGGTAGCCTGTCCTGGTTGCCGGGTGCTTGTTTGCATTCCAAGCTCCACATTCCCCAGGGTCCAGTGTGGTCTTGTGTCTAAGCTGGGGTCTGGCGACCAGAGGCAGGCATGCAGGGCCTTGGCTACTGTACTAGGTCTGCTGATGGCCACAAGCCTTTACTCCCAGCTCTGCGTTAGCAGTGGGGGTGTCTGAAGGCTCAGGGGATACACAAGTCCTCCTGGTTCCTGGGGAGGTGATGGTAAGTAATCCTTCTTAATAGTCTTTAAAAAATACATAATTTACTGGGTGCGGTGGCTCACGCCTGTGATCCCAGCACTTTGGGAGGCTGAGGTGGGCAGATCACGAGGTCAGGAGATCGAGACCATCCTGTATAACAAGGTGAAACCCAGTCTCTACTAAAAATACCAAAAATTAGCTGGGCGTGGTGGCGGGCACCTGTAGTCCCAGTTACTCGGGAGGCTGAGGCAGGAGAATGGCATGAACCCGGGAGGCGGAGCTTGCAGTGAGCCGAGATTGTGCCACTGCACTCCAGCCTGGGCAACAGAGCGAGACTCTCTCTCAAAACAAACAAACAAACAAACATAGTTTAACATGGACAAAGCAAGTAATCAAAAGACTATCTGGCAAAGTGAAAAATGTTGTAAAATTCTTAACACATTTGACTAGATTATAAACCCAGGAAATTCTTGAGCTTCCTTCAAGATAGGCCAGCTCTTTGAGTGAGTTAGAAACACTGGGCTTGTCATCAGTTAGTACTAATATGAACAGGTCTATCTCTTTGTATAATGATAAAAGGGGCCTTGTTGAAAATAAGCCACAGGTGAGCCCCCTCTCTCCGTGGTGAACTGTGTATATGGGTCACTTTCAAAGTTAGATATGGTTTCTGTAAGATGAAGCCCGGCCATTCTAAGTCACTTGAGTGAAAACAGCTTACCAGCCTGGCAGAAAAATAATTCACAACCTAAGAAAGCACTTTCTGGTCTTTAAAAACACTGAAAATTTCTTTTACAAGAAATTGAAGGCTGGAAAGAAAGTGAGAAGGACTTGAATAGACAGAAGGAAATTATTGGAACTCTAATGGATACAAAACACAAACCCTAAATGATAGATTTAGTTTAAGTGTCTGATGGAAACGTTTCTGACTATCACGTATCTACCAGCCAATAGAAAATAATGTAGAAGGTGGAAATCTGAAATTAAATATAAAGAGTGAATTATAAAATGAAGACCACATTGTCCATTAGGCAAAGTTCCTTTTGAGAAACCTTTTCGTGCTTTTAAACACTTTCTCCTAGAGGAAAAAACTAGAAGACAGATAGTAAACCAAAAAAAAAAAAAAAAGAAAAAGAAAAATCTAACAAATACATTTCTTAGAACTCAAATTGAAAATATCCTATGGAAGGAAGAATCTTTCCATTTAGAAAATGTTCACACAGGAAGTGAGAAAGCTTCTGTAGAAACTTGAAATACCATCTGAACTTTATCAATGACAGACACATCAGGTATGGATTTACCATTTAGCATTGGCGAAGAAACAGTCTAAAGTAAAAGGAAGCATCAGCCAGTCCCCTTGTAAGCTGGGGACCTAAGAAAAAAGAACGAAGGAATGGAATCAGAATTAGAAAGAAGCACTTTGATTTTATCAAAACCATTTTATCTCCCCTAAGAAAAAAGCCTGTGATAACTAATTAGCAGCTCTGGTCACTGCAGAAATCTCAACGCCTTGAGAAAAAAAAAAATGCACAGGAGAAACACAAGTTAGACGGAGCTGAATTAAAGGTGAGCTTTTGGCAGGGCGCTGTGGCTCACGCCTGTCATCCTAGCACTCTGAGAGGCCGAGGTGGGCGGATCACCCGAGGTCAGGAGTTCAAGACCAGCCTGGTCAACTTGGCGAAACCCCGTCTCTACTAAAAATACAAAAATACAAAAATACAAAAATTAGCCGGGCATGAGGGCGGGTGCCTGTAATCCCAGCTACTTGGGAGGCTGAGACGGGACAATCTGTTGAACCTGAGAGGCGGAGGTTGCAGTGAGCCAGTGCACTCCGGCCGGGGTGGCTGAGTGAGAGAGACTCCGTCTCAAAAAACAAAACAAAACAAAACAAAACAAAACAAAACAACAGTGAGCTTTTATGAAGTGGTCCTCATATCCCTGCAATCCCCGGTACAGCTCTGGGAGAACCTTCAGAGGACACGGCGATCCACCGATGACCAGATCCGGGAGAAGGAAAGAGAACTAGCAACAGATGATCACCACGTTGGAAAACTGTTTTTTCCCCCCATCTCCTATGCCAACAGTATCACCTTTTATAAAAAATCTTTTGTGCTTTCTCTCTGTAGCAAGAGGAAAGCAGGGAAAAAGATATTTAAGAGTAGGTCTTAGTGTACACATTCTGCATAACCTAAGGATTTGGGAGCCCTTCACTCTCACGCCTGAATTCATCCAGTTTCAACAAATCAAAACAAGGAGGCAGTTCAGGGCCAATCTAACTGCTGTTATTTGTGAAGTAAAGGGCATACCTAACTTCCAAACCCTCCATGCTGTGCTTCAGAACTCTTAGAAAAAAACCAGTAATTGTACAGGCCATCCCTGTACAAGGAGTGATGGCTGGGGCCTCACTCCTCCTTCAGACTGGGGTTTCTGGGTGCTGGCGTAATCCGCGACCCACACTGTGCCTGTACAAGCAGGGCTAACTAACAAAGGGCGGTGTGAACAGCTTTACGATGAATATCATAGTAGGATTATTTTATGTACCAATAACTAAATCCCAACCATTCTGGCTTAAAAACACACAGACAAAGTTTCCAATAAGAAATGGAAATAAGGCCAGGTGCGGTGGCTCACGCCTGTAATTCCAGCATTTTGGGAGGCTGAGGCCAGCGGATCACCTGAGGTTGGGAGTTTGAAACCAGCCTGACCAACATGGTGAAATCCCGTCTCTACTAAAAATATAAAATTAGCCGGGCATGGTGGTGGATGCTTGTAATCCCAGCTACTCAGGAGGCTGAGGCAGGAGAATCGCTTGAACCTGGGAGGCAGAGGTTGTGGTGAGCCAAGATGCAGCCACTGCACTCGAGTCTGGGCAACAAGAGTGAAACTCCTTCTCAAAAACAAACAAACAAACAAACAAAAAAACGGAAATAAAATTTACCTGGAAAATTTCTTTAGATTAGTTGACTGTTGCTATATTTTTGAGCCAGGCCCTCAATGTCCTAAACAGTCTCCTAAGGAATTTTCCTTCTTTTCCCAAATATTCTCTCTCTCTGTCTCTCTCTCTCTCCTGTATTGGCCGTATTCTCTTTCCATTTGGTAACGAATGTGCAGTGCCATGCTTTTATTCTACCAGTTTAGCAAATCATACTCAGACCCCACACATACACAGGTGAAGTGGGGCTTCCTACTCCTAACCACACTGGTCACTTCAGAAAAAGGCACATAATTGAATGCCTGCAATAAGAACCCTCCACAAAAATTCCCTCCGCAGGAACCATTAGGGACCACATTCTTCTCTTCGTTACATGTGTTCAGTCACATATGCATTTCTGAGGCCATCATTATAGGAAGGGACAGGACACATTCTGATGATCAAGCCAATTCTAAAGGATTTCCACATGAAAGGAGAGTGGTCAAATGACAGCTCCTCAAAGGACAACATGGAATGCAGTTACTAGAAAAAAGGAGAAGCAAGGATGGACAGGCAGAATAACCAGGCGGGTGAGGGGGTGGGTAAACAGACTAGACAGAGGTGACTGTGTGGTGCCTCAAACACTGTCCCGAGAACGGGGCAGAATGGAAACTGTATCACATGGAGCCACAGTGCTGGCCCAATGCCACTGCAAAAATCTGGATTTCCACCTCAGCAAACTACACAGATGGAAAGTCTCCTTCTGACCAAGATGAAGTAATCAAGACTAGATTCATGATCTCACTTGGAAAAAAAACCAAAATTATATAAAATAATGGTCTTCAAGACATTAGGCATCAGACAATGTAGGACAGTGATTCCCTAAGAGATGGGAAATGATCAGGGTGGACCCTATGGCTGCCCCCGTCCATTGCCTAGAGAGACTTTTGCGTACGTTGCACAGAGAGAGGACCCAGCTGAAGCCTGGTGAACTTCCTCAGCTGCTGCCGTGGAGTAGGGATTCTGGGGGGACAATGGCAGCTGACATTTGCAAGCAGAGTTAACAAAGATGAGGAAAGTTGCACCTAGAAGAAACTCTTGGGCTATACAGAGAGCCCAGGTGAAGTCCTCAGCCGGATTCTGATCCACACATGCACGTGAGGTTAGCCAAGGAGGAACCACCTCAATGGGAGTGAGGGAAAAGCACTCAGAGCTCACAAAAGTACTCAGAGCTCACAATCCCCACCAGCCAGAATGGGAGGGTCACTGAAGCCTTTGTAAGTCCTCCAAAGCACAAGGCTTTCTTGTGAATGGCGAGAGATGAAATTTCTTCCACCCAGTACTGAAGGTAAGCCCACCCCAGTCTCCAGTCCTCCTGACCCAGGCCCATAACAGGGTCCCTCTCAGCAGTCTGATGGACCCAGATGTTTCTCATGCTGGTTATTTTGGGCTTGAGTTTAAACTCTGCTCACACACCCTGACACTATATATAAAGACATAAAAGCAAACAAACAAAAACAGCAGGAGAATTTGGGGCCTGTCTCTTGCATCTGGTGAGGTAGCCACAACTACTTATGTGCCCCTGCACACTCCAAGAAGCCTCAAAATCATGACGGTAACATCAGCTGATTTGGTGAGTGCCCCCATGCACAATGCATCAGATGGTCTGCTAAGTGTTTTACGAGCATGATGCTCCATAACTGTCCCTACACGGGCCAGCTAAATGCAAAAAGCTGCATAACCCTTTCTTATTGAATCAGTGGGGAAGTAAGGATTTGAAATCATCTCTGTATCTGGCTATACTGTCTCTATGTGATAAAAGAT